TTTTAGTAAAGACAAGGGTTTCTCCATGTTGGTCAGGCTGATATCGATCTCCCCAACCTCAGCTGATCCTCCCGCCTCAGCCTCCCAAAGTGCTGAAATTACAGGTGTGAGCCACCATGCCCAGCCTGATGCTTAGGAATCTTTCTGTTCAATTGAGTCTTTACCACCACCTTTAGCTCTCTCTCATGGGGCCAGGAAATGGAGATCAAGCATCCAGTTCTAACAACATTTTCTAGACAAGACAGAAGCAAGGAACCTTACATTGCCTATGGATATAATTTCTAAGAGAGTTGAAGTTTCAGAAAGCAGCAAATCGGATCATAGTAGCAATGCCACAATCGGTTCAGCTCAAATCCACCTCATATTAAACCTATTTTCCGAGGGTTTGTGTAGCACAGGTTGTTCTACCATGATCACCACATGAGCTCTTCTGACACTTCACTAATATAACACACTTCCAGGAACAGATGTGGCTGGTGAAGTTTATTTACATTAATGTTCTCTTATGTCAATCACAGGTAAGCCCTGGATGCTAGTTTTCATATACGAATCCAGTACCTTCCTGGGAGAACTACTTTTTTCCCTAAACAAAAGAAAACACAATTAATATGATAACTGGGAGCGTAATGAACATCTTGCTTCACTTTGGGGTGGCATCTGGAATTTCTGAGTCAACTGTATCCAGCGGCTGCCAGTGGCAATTCATGAGGGAGTCGCAGAGTTCTTCACTTTTCCCCATAAACTCTTGGTTTGATTCCTCAATATTCAAATGAAGATGTGGATCTGCAGAAGTCAATAATGGCGAGATATGAAAGAAATAGAGTTTTACAGAACACATATTAGAAAGGTTTTAGAAAGCATTTTTGCAGGAAGTACTGCAGATAATAAAGGTTAAAATTCTTAAATTGCATATTTCCTTTCAATAAGACTTGAAAATAGAAATTTAAGCTATAAAAGTAGTAGTGTTGGCCAGGCATGGTGGCTCACATGTAATCCCAGCACTTTGGGAGGCAGAGGTGGGTGGATCACCGGAAGTCAGGATTCAAGATCAGCCTGCCAACATGGTCTCTACTAAAAATACAAAAATTAGCTGGGGCATGGTGGCAGATGGCTGTAATCCCAGCTACTCAGGAGGCTGAGGCAGGAGAACAGATTGAACCAGGGAGTCAAATGTTGCAGTGAGCGAGATTGCACCACTGAACTCCAGCCTGGAGACAAAGTGAGACTCTGTATCAAAAAAAAAAAAAAAAATTAAAAAAAGTATTAGAATCAACAGACTAACGAGCATCTGACCTTCGACAGAAGAGATGGTGAAAAATAAGGGACAGATTTGAGATGCTTCAGAGATGGATTCAACTTAGGAGGAAAGAAGAAAAGGAAGGTCAAGAACCACTGCCATATTCCTGGCATGAGCCAGGTAGATACAATGCTAAAACAGTGAGCCAAGCCAAGGGCCCCGAGGACAGGGGTTTATAAAAATAAACATGCTACTTTAACTGCTCAGTTAACAGATTCATGTTAGTGAATAAATTTTACGTAGCAACTAATTCAGAAACACAGGATGACTTGGCCTTCTATCTCTGAAACATGGAACCCTATGAGGAGGCGGTATTATGTTATAGCAAACGTATTAGACCTGGATTTTCAGCCCAAGTTGCCAGGCTTCCAGAGCTTGCCAAGGCTTTCAAGGTCATAATTTTTTTAATGTAACCTGGTTTTGTCCTCTCCTTGTACTGAATGTAAAGGAAGAAGCCTTTTGTGTTTTTTCCTTTGTAAGTTTCCAAGCCTCAGTTCCTTGAGGATCATACTTTGCTTCCTAACACTCATATGGGTTCACGCTATTCATCTGTAGTGCAATGGGACTAAATCTTGGCCCCACAAAATTCTTCTGTTAAAAGCCTAAACCCACAATGTGAAGGCATTTGGAGATGAGGACCGGGAGGTCAGATGAGGTCATGTGGGTTGGTTGCTGGAATGATAGAAGTAGTGCCCCTATAAAAAGAGACAGCAGGCTGAGCACAGCAGTTCACACCTGTAACCCCACACTTTGGGGAGCTAAGGCCAGCGGATCACTTACGTCTGGAGTTTGAGATCAGCCCTTGGCAACATACTGAGACCCCATCATCACAAAATATAAAATAAATTTAAAAGAAGATAAGCAGAGAACTTGCTCACATTCTCTTCTACAAGGCATGCAAAAAGAGGTCAAAATGTGAAACAGGAAGAAGGCTGCTGTCTGCAAGCCAAGAAGAGAGTCCTCACCAGAAATCAAATTAGCCTGGATATTGGATTTCCATCCTCCAGAACTGCAAGAAAATAATTTCTGTTTAAACCAACCCATTCTGTGGTATTTTGCTACAGTAGCCCCAGAAGACTAATGCAGTACCCTTCTATATTTATCATTTTGGAACCAAAATAATCAAATCAGCCTTAGGCATCATATACATTCAAGAGCTACTTCTCATTTTTCTTCGCTGGAATCACTGGTGACTGTGTTGTCTTGATTCTTACACTTTAGAGCTTCCCAACCTTTCTGAAACCATCTTTCCCTTGAGGATTTCTGATCATAAAAGTAGAAGTTTCCCTTTTTTTTCCCCCCCAAAACATTCTGAAATTTTCTTAATACACTTCTGCCCCCAGTTCCTTTCCTTCACCATTGTTACAGGCAGTTGTTTGCTAAAGGGTCCCTGACCGCATGCCCCTAGTGGGGAGAGAGGTGTCAGAATCATGTGCTTATGAGCATGCTCTCTACTTAACCTGCAGCCAAGAGAACAGATAAGGTGTGGTTAGCTCCAAACCCTGGATGATATGATCTCTGCCCTTCAGTGATGTTGACCAAAACTATAATAGAAGAAGTCTATACAGGACAAACTAATTATGTCTTCCCTAAACCTGTGCATCTTTTAGACCAACACTGTCCAACACTAGCCACATGCGGCTATTGAGTGAGCATTGCTAGCCTTGACTAAGATGTGATGTAAGGATAAAATACACACCACATTGAAAGCAGAATGGTGGCTGCCTGAGGGAAAAGAGAGTGAGGAGTTACTGTTATTTAATGGGTAGGGAGTTTGAGGTTATAAAATGAAGAGTTCTGGAGATGAATAATGATGGTTACACAAAACTATATGAATGAACTAAAGAGAGTGAGGAGTTACTGTTATTTAATGGGTAGGGAGTTTGAGGTTATAAAATGAAGAGTTCTGGAGATGAATAATGATGGTTACACAAAACTATGAATGAACTTAATACCACTGATACATTTAAAAGTCTATTGCTTCTCAGCCTTTTGGCTAAGACCAAATGTGATACATTGACAAGTCAGGATGATAAATTTTATGTTACGCATATTTTACCACAATTAAAAAAATTTTTAAATCTGCTTTAAGGTACAATCTGAATAGCCCCCCAAAATAAGGATCCCCCACAATCTGCAGGTGAGGGGGCAGCCATAAAAGAAAAACAATAGAAAAAATATACATTGTATTTCAAGACTTGATGTAAAATGAAAGTGATTAATTTTATATTTTGGAATAATACCTTGGATATTGTCTTAGATTGGGCTGCTAACAACATATCAGAGACTGAGTAGTTTATAACAACACAGTTATTTCTCACAGTTTTAGAAGCCAGAAGTCCAAGATCAAGATGTCAGCCTGGTTGGGTTCTGGTGAGGACCCTCTTCTGGGCTGCACACTGCCCAGAAGTCATATCTTCACATGGGAGAGGGCAGGGAGAGGAATCAAGCTCCCTTGTGACTCTTGTAAGGTTACCAATTCCATTCATGAGGACTCTATCCTGATGAACTCACCTAATCCTAATCACCTCTCTAAAGACCCACATCCTAAAACTATCGCATTGGGTGTGAGGGTTTCAATATATGAATTTGGCAAGAAAAAGAACGCAAATTCAGTCCATCCCAGATATTAGGTTAAGTAAGAAACATTATTGAGCCAGGCACGGTGGCTCATGCCTGTAATCCAGCACTTTGGGAGGCCGAGGCAGGTAGATCACTAGGTCAAGAGGCCATCCTGGTCAACATGGTGAAACCCCGTCTCTACTAAAAATACAAAAAATTAGCTGGGCATGGTGGTGTGTGCCTTGTAATACCAGCTACTCAGGAGGCTGAGGCAGGAGAATTGCCTGAATCCAGGAGGTGGAGGTTTCGGTGAGCCGAGATCATGCCATTGCACTCCAGCCTGGGTAACAAGAGAGAAACTTTGTCTCAAAAAAAAAAAAAGAAAGAAAGAAGGAAAGAAAGAAACATTATTAATTTCATCAGTCTCTTGAGTTGGTTCTTTAATTTGGCTACTAAACAATTTTCAGGGAGGAGGACTCAAGATGGCGCTGTGAGAACAACCCAGGATTGGAGCTCTCGCTGAATCCGCAAAGAGGTGAGTCGGAGTTGCATTTCCAGACTGATCTTTGTTGCCCACAGATCGGGGAAACTCCCAAGTGTAAGGGAGACACGGGACGCCAGGCAGTAAGTCTGCCTGGCGAAGCCGGCAGCCGGGGTGGATCCCCACAAGGCGTGCTTCTCTGGGTGCCCTGTTGAACCGGCAACCTGAGACTTGAGAGGGCTGGACTTGAGACTGAACGAGACTTGGACAGTAGGCCAGCCCAGGGGATTGCAGAGACAGAGCGTTCGGGGTACCCAGTGGGACAAACAAAACCGTGTTTTCAAACTATCCCGAGCAGACGGTCCAAGATGCTCCGTGGGGGAGGGGCGTCCACCACTACCGAGGCAACCCGCCCCAACTGAGATACACGCCCACTGCTGATGCAGTCAGCCATTGCCGAGGCAACCCGTCCCTACTGAGATACACGCCCACTGCTGACGCAGCCTCCCGTTGCCGAGGAAACCCGTCCCTACTGAGATACACGCCCACTGCTGACACAGCCTGCCGCTGCCGAGGCAACACGCTACAAAAAAGAGACTCTGCCGCAGGGCGTGGCGGAGACCACAGCAGACCCTGCAGGAACAGGGCGAATCACACAAGCAGGGCGGAGACTCGGCAGGCAAACAGTGGCTAGTCTGCCTCCTAGCTGGGCAGGACACCTCAACGAACATCGAAAAATAAAGCCCAAACCCCCCAACACAGAGCATTTGAGAAAAAAAAGGGTTGTTTTAATGAGCTCTGTTGCAGCAGAATCAAACATAGCAGCCTAACAGCCCTGAATGAACAACAGAGCTCACAGCTCAGAAATTGAGCTCCTAAAAAGAACAAACTGTCTCCTCAAGCAGCTCCCTGACCCCTCTATATCCAAAAACTGACATTTGGCAGGCATCATCCTGGGACAAAGATAGCAGAAAAAGAAATGGGTAGCATCCCTCACTGTGCCACAGCTGTTAGAGGTGCACCCCAGACAAGCAGGGCCTGGAGTGCACCTCAGCAGTCATACAGCGAAGGGGCTAGGCTGGTAGAAGGAAAACCAAGTAACAGAAATACTTCATCATCAACAATCTGGGTGTCCACTCAGAGACCCAATCGAAAGTAACTACGCAGACGACAAGCAGATAAACCCACAAAGATGGGAAGAAACCAGCAAAAAAAGGAGGAAAACACCCGAAACCAGAACACCTCGCCTCCTGGAAAGGACCAAAACTCCTCACCAGCAAGGGAACAAAGCTGGACGGAGAATGACTGTGACGAAATGACGGAATTAGACTTCAGAAGGTGGATAATGAGAAACTTTTGTGAGCTAAAAGAACATGTATTAAATCAATGCAAAGAAACTAAGGAACTTAAAAAAAGATATGAGGAAATGATAACAAGAATGGATAACTTAGAGAGGAATATGAATGAATTAAAGGAGCTGAAAAACACAATACGAGAACTTCGCGAAGCATGCACAAGTTTCAATAGCCGAATTGACCAAGCAGAAGAAAGAATATCTGAAGTCGAAGACCAACTCAATGAAATTAAACGAGAAATCAAGATTAGAGAAAAAAGCGCAAAAAGGAATGAACAAAGTCTCCAAGAAATGTGGGACTACTAACCTACGTTTGATAGGTGTACCAGAAGGGGACGAAGAGAATGAATCCAAGCTGGAAAATACTCTTCAGGACATCATTCAGGAAAACTTCCCCCACCTAGCAAGACAGGCCAACACTCAAATGCAGGAAATACAGAGAACACCACAAAAATATTCTGCAAGAAGAGCAACCCCAAGGCACATAATCGTCAGATGCAACAAGGTTGAAATAAAGGAGAAAATACTAAGGGCAGCCAGAGAGAAAGATCGAGTTACCCACAAAGGGAAGCCCATCAGACTCACAGCAGATCTCTCGGCAGAAACATTACAAGCCAGAAGAGAGTGGGGGCCAATATTCAACATCCTTAAAGAAAAGAACTTTCAACCCAGAATTTCATATCCAGCCAAACTGAGCTTCAAAAGTGAAGGAAAAATAAAATCCTTTGCGAACAAGCAAGTACTCAGAGATTTTTGTCACCTTTACAAGACCTCCTAAAAGAGGCACTACACATAGAAAGGAACAACCAGTACCAGCCATTCCAAAATCACACTAAATGCTAAAGAGCATCAACATAATGAAGAATCTACAACAACTAACAGGCAAAACAGCCACTTAGCATAAAAATGGCAGTATCAAATTCACACATAACAATATTAACCCTAAATGTAAATGGACTAAATGCACCAATCAAAAAACACAGACTGGCAAATTGGATAAAAATACAAAACCCATCAGTGTGCTGTATCCAGGAAACCCATCTCACATGCAAGGATACACAAAGGCTCAAAATAAAGGGATGGAGGAAGATTTACCAAGCAAATGGAGAGCAAAAAAAAGCAGGAGTTGCAATTCTCATCAAAGCAACAAAGATCAAAAGAGACAAAGAAGGCCATTACATAATGGTAAAAGGATCGATACAACAAGAAGACCTAATGATCCTGAACATATATGGACCCAATGCAGGAGCACCCATATACATAAGGCAAGTTTTTAATGACTTACAAAGAGACTTACACAATAATAGTGGGGGACTTTAACACTCCACTGTCAATATTAGACAGATCAACCAGACAGAAAATCAACAAGGATATCCAGGACTTGAACTCAGACCTGGAGCAAGCAAACCTGATAGACATTTACAGAACTCTCCACCCCAAATCCACAGAATATACATTCTTCTCAGCACCACATCACACATACTCAAAAACTGACCACATAATTGGAAGTAAAGCACTGCTCAACAAATGCAAAACAACTGAAATCATAACAAACAGCCTCTTAGACCATAGTGCAATCAAGTTAGAACTCAGAATACAGAAACCAACCCAGAAGCGCACAGCTTCATGGAAACTGAACAACTGGCTCTTGAATGTTGACTGGGTAAACAATGAAATGAAGTCAGAAATAAAGAAGTTCTTTGAAACCAATGAGAACAAAGACACAACAGGCCAGAACCTCTGGGACACATTTAAAGCAGTCTCTAGAGGAAAGTATATAGCAATAAGTGTGAGGAGGATGGAGAGATCCAAAATTGACACCCTATCGTCAAAATTGAAAGAGCTAGAGGAGCAAGATCAAAAAAACTCAAAACCCAGCAGAAGACAAGAAATAACTAAGATCAGAGCTCAACTGAAGGAGATTGAGACACGAAAAACCCTTCAAAGAATCAATAAATCCAAGAGCTGGTTTTTTGAAAAGATCAACAAAATAGACAGACCACTAGCCAGATTGATTAAAAGGAAAAGAGAGAACAACCAAACAGATGCAATAAAAAAATGATAAAGGGGAAATCACCACAGATTGCACAGAAATTAAAACCATCATCAGAGAATATTACAAACAACTCTATGCACATAAACTAGTAAACCAGGAAGAAATGGATAAATTCCTGGACTCCTGCATCCTCCCAAGCCTAAACCAGGAGGAAGCTGAAACTATGAATAGACCAATAACAAGGGCAGAAGTCGAGGCAGCAATTATGAGCCTACCACACAAAAAAAGCTCACAGCCGAATTCTACCAGACACACAAAGAGGAACTGGTACCATTCCTTCTAAAACTATTTCAAACAGTCCAAAAAGACAGAATACTTCCCAAATCATTTTACGAAACCAACATCATTCTGATACCAAAACCCGGCAGAGACCCAACAAGAAAAGAAAACTTCAGGCCAATATCCATGATGAACATAGATGAAAAAATCTTCAATAAAATATTGGCAAGCCGAATGCAACAGCAAATCAAAAAACTTATTCACCATGATCAAGTAGGATTCATCCCGGGGATGCAAGGCTGGTTCAACATACGCAAGTCTATAAACGTAATTCACCACATAAACAGAACCAAAAACAAAAACCACATGATTATCTCAATTGACGCAGAGAAGGCATTCGACAAAATTCAACAGCCCTTTATGTTAAAAACCCTCAATAAACTCGGTATTCATGGAACGTATCTCAAAGTAATAAAAGCTATTTATGACAAACCAATCATACTGAATGGGCAAAAACTGGAAGCATTCCCTTTGAAATCTGGCACTAGACAAGGATGCCCTCTTTCACCACTCCTATTCAATATAGTTCTGGAAGTTCTAGCCAGAGCAATCAGGCAAGAAAAAAAATAAAGGGTATTCAAACAGGAAAGGTGGAAGCCAAATTGTCTCTATTTGCAGATGACATGATAGTATACCTAGAAGACCCCATCACCTCAGCCCAAAAACTCCTGAAACTGATAAGCAACTTCAGCAAAGTCTCAGGATATAAAATCAATGTGCAAAAATCACAAGCATTCGTCTACACCAATAACAGACTTAAAGAAAGCCAAATCAAGAACGAACTGCCATTCACAATTGCTACAAAAAGAATAAAATACCTTGGAATACAACTCACAAGGAACGTAAGGGACCTCTTCAAGGAGAACTACAAACCACTGCTCAACGAAATCAGAGAGGACACAAACAGATGGAGAAACATTCCATGTTCATCGTGAAAATGGCTATACTGCCCAAAGTAATTTACAAAATCAACACTATCCCCATCAAGCTACCATTGACTTTCTTCACAGAACTGGAAAAAACCACCATGAACTTCCTATGGAAAAAAAAGAGAGCCCACATAGCCAAGTCAATTCTAAGCAAAAAGAACACAGCGGGGGGCATCACACTACCGGATTTCAAACTATACTACAAGGCTACAGTAATCAAAACAGCCTGGTACTGGTACCA